CATGGTAAAGCATAAAATAATTAACATACTGTATAAGGCTATCAATGTCTATTAATACATTTTAGTGTGAATGTCAAAGTCCTAATCAGCAACTACTCAATAAGAAAAAAGCAGCAAAGATAATATAGTGTTTAGTGCTTTAGGCATTTTTGCCTTGGTAAAAGCCTTACAGACATGGACTTTCTGTATTCATTCTGTAGCATTTGGCACAGTACTTACTCACAAAGCTGCAGGAGCACAAACATGTATAGAATAATATTATAATCTTATTAAAAGTAAATTTGACAAATACATAATACATATGTTATATTTCTGTTGATGTGATGAAGTATTGTGAATTTTTGTTCAACTAGTTTGAGCAAGAAATTTAATTTTTCACTAAAATCATCCTCATGAAACCAACATATACTTGGTAAGATTAATTGAGTTGACACACAGTCAGCTTGTTATTCACCAAGTGAATTATGTTAATCCACATGATGATGGGTTTTAATGTAGTGCTTTTTTAACATACTAGCAAATCAGTGTCACATCAAGTGTCCACTGGATATCCAGTCTGAACTTCATCCATTCAGTAGAGAATCCAAAATGTGTATCCAGCAATTACTAAAGAATGTTGTGTTTGATCATGCACTGCATACGTAGGAAACCCGTGGGGTTAACAAAAGAATGACTGGTATAACAGGCAGCAGGATATTTCATAACTAAGGCATCTGAATGTTTGATGTTTGTGACACTGTAATCAGATTGGGAAATAAGTTCTAACTCCATTACATGATACTGTAAACTTGGTATTCAGGTCCTCTGGGTCCTCCCTTCAACAGAGCATCTGGATATCTGTGAATCATTCACTGTTTTAGACCAGGGGAAATGCTAAATCAGTCCCATTAAGTTACAGTAGGTCATTAGCAATCCAGGTGGAGGTAAAACCAGAAGATACATTGACTCTCCAATGCTCTCCAGTTACTGTGGAAAGAGCAAAACACACTGTTGTTCAAACAGCATGCAATGGGGTAGTGTGCAATAAAATGGAAAAGTTACTGAGAAAAACTAAGGTTGCTGCTGGAAGTGGTGTTAGTGGACCCAGCAAGGAGCGCTCACCCTGCAGTCTATGTGGGTCCTAATGCCCCTGTATAGTGACGGGGACACTATACTGTAAACAGGCGCCGTCCTTCGGATAAGACGTAAAACCGAGGTCCTGACTCTCTGTGGTCATTTAAAATCCCTGGGCGTTTCTCATAAAGAGTAGGGGTTTAACCCAGCGTCCTGGCCAAAAGTTCCCATTGGCCCTTATCAATCATGGCCTCTTAATAATCCCTGTCTATGAATTGGCTTCATTATTATTATTATTATTATTATTATTGTTATTATTATTATTATTATTACTGTAAACGTTGTGTTTCTTCACCATATTTTGAACTAATTCAATACATCCTTAACTGAAGTTTATCTTAGAGGAAAATCATAGATGCAATTGAGAAGAGGAAATGTGTGCCCAAATCCACAACAAAGGTCAAACATCATACCACATTGCTGTGGCAAATATATTAGTTAATTCTATAAAATGCAGTTCCTTGCAAAAGTATTAACATTTGGTCATTTGGTTGCTATAAAGCTTAAAGTCTTGATGCTTACATGTAGCAATTAATATCTGTTATATATTCCTAACCTTCATAACAAAAAGAAAGAAATAAAAAAGATATGAGAGAAAATTGAAAAGTCATAACTCTATAATTATTCAAAGACTTTGCAATGTGCAAACTTAAATTAATTTAGGTGCACAAAATTACCTGAATGAGTTTAACAATTAGTCGAGTTTCCTCTATCAGTGTGCAATAATAGTTGTTCATATTATTTCAGAATAAATACACATATTTCTACAAAGTCCCTCAGTCACATAGTGAATTTCAAGCAAAGAGCTTAAACCAAGAAGCTTTAAAAAAATTCAAGGATGAAGTTGTAAAGAGGCACAGATAAGGAGCAGGGTATAAAAAGATTTCAGTAATCCTTAATATCTCCTTGAGCATGTTAAAGACAATGGTTAAGATGAGGAAGATTAAACTGGTTAGAGATGCCACTATGAGGCCAATAGTGACTTTGAAAGAGCTACAGAGCTCAGTGGCCGAGATGGAAGGAAAAATGCATGAGTCAACATGGCAACATCTTGTTGACTCATGCACTTTTCCTTCCATCTCAGCCACTGAGCTCTGTAGCTGTTTCAAAGTCACCGCCCAGCCACTCCACAAAACGGGCCTGTGCAGCACAGTGGAAAGCCCATCTCAAGTTCTGCTTGGGGTTTGCAACAAAGCACCAAAGTGATGCTGAAAAAGATTTTGTGGACAGACAAAACAAAACTGGAACCTTGTGGACTAAAGGTAAAATCCTACATGTGATATAAACCCAACAGACTACATCACTCTGCAGTCTAGCATAGTGGTAGCAGCATTACATTATACTCTAGTTCTGCTTCTCATCAGCAGGGACTTGGAAGCTTATCAAGAAAGATGGAACAAAGTACTGGCATATCTTAGAGAAGAACCTGCTCCAGGCCAAAAACTGGGGCAAAAAAATTTCCTTTCCGCCAGACAATGACCAAAAGCACAAGTTCATATTTACACTAGAGAGGTTTAAGAAAAAGAAAGTAGATGTCCTTGAGTGGCTTACTCAGTGCCCTGACTTGAATCCTAATGAGAACCTGTGGAAAGGCTTGAAAGCTGTTATGCAATCCGCAAGCAACCTGAGAGTGTTTTTCCAAATCTGCAGAGAGGAGTGGGCAAAAAAATACACCAAGCCAGTGAGCAAATTTGGTAGAAATGTTCTCCAAAGCACTTGTGGCTATAATTTCTATGAAAAGTGCTTTTACCAAGTTGAGATCATGGGTCTGAATGCTTATACTATCAACATATTCCATTTCTTTTTCTTAATATTTGATTACATTAACTGTTGCTTTTCTCACCTTTTGGGTTTTGCATTACGTATTATTGTAAAGGTAAAGGTTTATTCCATGCTGAAAAGAGAAGAAAAGAAACACGACATTTCGGCTGTATTTTTGGCGTAGAAAATAATGTGTCTGCATCATTTTATAACTTCACAAAATGGGACACCATAGGAAGGTTCTGAATATTGTGACAAGACACTATTTCCATGATTTCGCAGTATCTCAGAAATTATTCCTTTTGGAGCAGGTTCCTTCAGGAAAGATTCCTCTCATTAGTACAAGAGGAGATACACGTATGGACATAGTCTGAAAAATCACACCCATTTCATCCATGGATAACTGAAGTGTTCATGAGAAAGCAAAGAGGGCACACAGTCAGTCACATCACAGGACTCAATCACATAACTATCTAAGGTGTACATGTGGCTTGTGAGTCCTGAGCACATTGAAATCACATTAGACAACAAAACATATTTGTGTAAGGAGACTTTCTTTTCAGACATAACCTGTTATACTTACTCTATACCTTACCCTTACCCTGTGAGTCCCTTTATGTACCAAATAAATCTAAATTAAATATAATTGTTGGACCTTCAATAATTAAGTAATCAACTCTATCCATGTGAACCTACTGTACATACAAAAATAGAGGTCTTAACAACCTCTAGTGGTGTCAGCAGAAATTACTACCTTCATTACTAATGGTCTGTCACAGTAACATATAATAGACACTTTGCTTTTTGTTATCAAACATGGTCACAAATGCTTTACATAACATGTGACATAAATAAAATAAATAAACTTCAAAATTAAAGAGTGATGTCAAACAAAAACTCTCAAAACGTGCTTTACGTAGGGCCAGGAAGATGTAGTAAATTGTACATCCCAAGATGTGAACAAAACATTTCATGAACCCAACAAACTTGGTATGACTCAAGGTTCTCCAATTTCAGGACCTTACTTAAAGTTTATAAAATGAACAACCTAAACATTAAAATAAGACGTCTAATCAGAACGCAAGTCAAAGTTGATCTGAAAATGTGACTGATGAGAACAAATTAGCGTGGTAAACTACAGAGATGTGTCTTCAGTTTAGAAGAAGGAAAGGGTGGAGGCCTTTGTTACAGTAATTGAGTTTCATATCTATTGCGGCACCAGGGCTGAGTCAGTGTCACTCAGCATAAAACAGCCCTGCAACAGGTGAGGAAATAGCACACTGTCCTCTGGGATTACATTAGCGCCACAACATAGATCATGCTTTTCCAAAGAAACCAAAGCAGCTTTGGTATTCTCAACACAGAAGTTTCACGTCTACTCTTGATACCTAGCTACAAGTAAATAACACATATGCCAAACAAGGACTAAACATAAACCTACAGCTGTTGGTTACCTAGGCTCATGTTCAGATAGAGAAGATATTATTGGTTGCATGTTCAAACATTGGAAAAATATCTAAGCCTCTGCATCACTACCAATACAATCATGCCACAGTGCACAAACAACTAAACGTGTTTCATTTTCAGTTCATGGACAATATAAAGTTTTCAGAGAATACAGAGGTAGGGTACTGTTTAAAAACCAGATGGTACATATTTAAATCCCACACTCTTCATTTCAGGAGGGAAATGATAAGTTCTTATTCATTTCAACCTATTTCCCAGTGCACCAGCATAGCTATTACTTCAGCATGTGTTGTTTTCCAACCCTAAAGAAGCAGGCTAGACATTTTAGGAGCCAACAGAAAGGGTGTGTGCTTTTAATTAAGCTGTTCTTTTGCAATGTGCAAGGACCTGTTCCTCTGGTTTGTACTGGAGAACTAATATACGAAAAAGAAAGGAAAGAAAAGGAGATTGGATGAAGACAGCCTTTTACTTGCTGTGCTGTTTGTACATCCTTGACTTTGATGATTCTATGCTGCATGGATTGAATAGCGAATAAATTGAGGATTATAAGATAAAGCAGGAGGCCATGGTGGAGGACCAAGGTGTGCATCAACAAGCCCCCTCACTGGAAGAAGAAGGTGAGTTCATTCCTCATGTATTTTGTCTTCTAGTAGCCAGCAGTGGTGTTCAAACACTAAAGGGTTGTTTTACTAAAACATGTGGACAGATGTCCATGTGGACAGCAGGTTGTCCACCATCTGTGCTTATAAATGTGAATACTCTCATAGATTTAGTTACATTAACATAAGGTCTCGAATATTTAAAGCACCACAACATATTTTGGTTATAGTTAAATACATAAAATTAAGTAGCACTGATTGGTGAAGGCTATGTAAGACCTATGAACTTTACAGGGTATAGACTAGATGTTGTTTAGTATTAATTTTTAGAATACATATTTGTTTAGAAAAAACTTTGTGTTAATCATAGCATTATGATTTTTTTTTCTGTGATATGAGTAAAATACAGGCAATAGATGTCTGTCCTGGCTTTAAGGGTACAAAGTGCACTTTCTATCTTTACAGGCTTCTATCATAAAAAGGAAGCCATTATAATTTATGGTCCTAAGAATACAGTATGGGAGTTTTAGCTAATCTTACTCAAATTTAAGTAAAACTACTTATGTACAGTATATGGATAAAACTGATTATTCTTTACGACTCTTTACTTACTAATGATCTAATACGCTCTACATGTATACATGCATAGTAAGTGGGAAATGTTTAAATGTAGCCCAGCATTTTGCAGTAATGGCTTTGATTGCAATGTAAAAGTGATTGTCAGAAAATGGCTCAATAAATCCTGTCATATGTTTTACCTGTCTATCGGTGAACTCCCAGTAAAGTCAACTAGGATAATTGCCATCATTTGTACAGGGGTGCTTTGAAGTGATCTTAAATGGGCCAAACTGTGTTTTGATGACAGTGATAATAACTTCAATGCAGAAGCAGATAATTGGTCTCCTTGTTCATGTCTGCTGGTGAGTAGCTGAAAAGGGCAAGTGGTTCACAGCGGCTAATCACTCTAATGTAGCAGAATTACTGCTTTTTATACACCATTTAGGTAAACATGAATTTCATTTATAATGCCACCCTTTTTAAAGCTGGAACACAGTATGTGAGATGTGGGACATAATGTACACAATAGAGCAGTCAGAACAAGTCTTCCCCAGTGAGCCTTATGGTGTGCAAGAGTTATATGAAAAAGTAAACAAGGAAAGCATAAAACAGGACTCTTTTTGTGGTAGAAATTAAAATTCCAAGGTGAACATAGGAGTTTAATGTTATTAACTGTACTAATTAAAAATAAATGCTTAAATAGTGCCTGTATCTAATTGGTAACTGTGCAGCTTTTGCTCCTTAAGTAATCAAAACTAAACATTTTCTAACACACCCACACACACTAGTATTTACTGTATGTGTGCAGACACTCAAACTGAATTTGGTATTGTATTGCTTATAGCTATTTTCATAATGACTGTTTCAGATCTGCTAAACTAAACTGTACTCCATTAATTCAAATAAACTCCAAAAACGTTCTTTAAAATTATCATTTTAATGTACAGTATACTATGTATGCCCAACATTTTCTATAGAAGAAAGTATAAACTGTTCTAAATAAAACAAAAGAAAAATCAAAGATCACAGAAAGAATTCCAGTTTTCTATATTGATACCAATTTGCAGAAACACCCAAAATGTAATTCACGTTTATAGAAGACAACACCCTTCGGAAATGCGTTTAATAATACACTTCCAAAACCACTTTGAAAAATGGCAGCATTTACATAACATTGCCGCCAGGGGAGCCCCTTCTACCTTCCACCCGTTCTGTCCTGCGACAAAACAAAATCTCACACGATAGTTGGATGAGTTTTCAGAAATTTAACTTTCTTTTCTTCAAACACAATCATGCCGGGGACTTTTGGCGATTATTATTGGCAAAATATTGAGAAAAAAAATCAACAACACCACACGTAATCATCGCATGTTTCTCTGAGGGAAAGTAAATGATACATGTTTATTTACATCCTCATACAGCTACATACGTAGGTAGACAGAATTTAATGTCCAGGAAACAGCAGGAAAAGTATTATTTTTTTGTAAGCAGAAAGGTAACAATTAAGACAAAATATTACAGAAAAAATAAATAGTAATTATAATTGCGAATACAGTCAATCTGTATAGTGACATATTTGTACAAAAATACCATAATTGTTTTATTGTTTTAAGAAATTTAAGTTATGCATAAACACAGACTCTATTTCCACGGACGCTATATGATCTCGGTTATTGTTAGGTTGTATGTTCTACATGACATAATGCTTGCCTAACCGCTGATTAATGTCCAAAATCGAAACTACAGTAAAACAGGGCGCAGTCGACACCTATGCGAGCAGAAGCTTTTTTTTATTCCAGCCTGGAATCGCTTCCAGGTTTCCGATAAAACCCGAAGATTGCCGATCAGCACTTGTGCCATCGGGAATCCCGAAGAGAGGCGGAGATCGAGTATCGCAGCAGTCCAACAAGAAAGGGAGCGAGGGGGAAAAGAACAGTGCTTCTCTTCCTGGTCATCCGTCCTGCCGACACCTGTCTTTGTCTTTGAATTGTACGGATACACAAACTGGGACGAACGGTTGTGGCACATGTAAAGAGAAGAAAGGCAAAACTGCGAGAATCTGGATGGTTAAGGTAATAACACAGTGCCACACACGGGCTTTTTACTTGGGAAAACCTGCAAGGTAGTAGTGTAGTCATACGGCTCGTTTAGAGCTACTCCCAGTTAAATATGAGGTGTGTGAAGCCTTGTAAAGATGACTGTGATAGCAACGTAAATATTTACAGTAATGAATTTCAGTACAGTTCGACAGCGCTGCCTGGATTCGTAGTTTTGCTTGTATCGCTGACATTGGAATGCCTTTTTGTTGTTTCTTGTTTTTGTTGAATCTAAACTTTTATTGTTTGTAACCCAGTAATAAGCAATGCATGATTTTTTCCCTCTTGCACAAATGCTGTTAAGACTTTGGTAGTTCCTGGAGAACTAATGTTGGAGCACAGTTCAACTTCACCCACACTCTCCACCCCCAGTTGAACACAATACGCTTTTCTTTTTTGATCGGTAATCAATCAGATCGGTGTTATTTTTAAGCCAGATTTCTAAGACGCAAGGTTTTCGTCTCGCTTTGAAAAGCGACACGCCACTGTGGGTAGCTCCGTGGTGCTTTATTGAGTAATAATACCTCACGTAGAGAGGCGGACTGGGAATAGAAATATTATGTTGTGACCTAGGTTTGTAAAAACGTCCAGTACTCAGGTGGATTGCCCATGTTGAACGTATTTTTTAACTTTACGTTAATGTATCTCCACTTGCATATTCTTAATAATTTAATGTTGGAACTGCAAGTTTATGTGCATTATTAATTTTCACATAGTTCATGGACTGTTCTTATTCAGTCTTCTTGGCACATTGCGTCGAATATAAAAAGCATTCTGTCCATATTGTAACCTTAAATAGTGAACTAGCGCCCCTTTCAACTGTAATGGTACGTTGATGTATCCAATGTTGGTTAATTTTTTGTATTAAACTTGAAAAGCAGTGTCCTTGGGAATTCCTAGAACGCTAAATGACTTTGGAAACAAAGTTATACAACTTCCAAGTGTTTTGTCATTTTTAATTACGAATCCTTTTAATATAGCATATACAGAGCACTGTGTTTATTGAAGTGTTATTTATTATATATATGTTATAATTTTTTTAAAAATAAGTATTTTCAATTGCAATATGCATCTTGTGCATATTACAGTCTTACAGTTGATATTTGTGGTAATGTATGTAGTGTAATTGTCCTGCAGTTTAGTTCCACGTTTCTGTTTTGCTTTCTTTTTAAAAACATATCAAGGGATGTCTATCTTCCTTCATGAGTTCTTGAATGAATATTTCTGTCTGTATGTTACGTATTTTGTAAATGGGGTGCAGTTTTTATTCCACTTATAAGTAATTTGAAATATACTAGAGAATAGCATAGATCAGCAGTATACTTCAAACCTGTTACCTATACATGTGTTCACTGACATTTTTGTAAGTGTTTCTGTCTGTATGAGGAGCCTTTAACTTTATTCTTCAGGGATTTAGTGCATCCGAATTTAGGCCCACAGTTATTTCAGTGGCTAAGATAGCATTTGGAATGGAAAGTAGAAAACTCAGTGGTCTTTGAAAACTGAAGAAAGGAGCTGAGACTTCCTTTCTTAGATTATTTACCATACTGAGTTACTGTTCCACTTGAAAACACCCCTGAAAAGATCTCTCAAAGCCAACTGTCAAGAAGTGCATACAGAAAGCAAATTATTGTTGAACAAGGCTGGAAAAAAAGAAGACTTTCAAAAATCATTCACTCTTGCACAGCTTAAGCACTCATGGTTATTTTAGACAGGGTAGATGTGGAACAGCCGAGTGCAGCCTCCAGCTGAGGCTTTTAAAGCCCTGTTACTTTAAATAAGGTAGTTGTGTATGCAAAGACAACAAGGACTGTGGATGCACTTAATAATTAAACCACAGTGGCCTGTGCAGCTTGAAGGTTTTGATACATGCATGAATCAAGCCTACCCCTTTCCCATTTTCTGTGAAGATGTGCGTCAGGGCTCACCGTGCACTATAATGTAAAATGCACTAAATAAATTGCTACAGTTTACTTTGTAAAACATGATGGTTTGTATTATTTTCTGACCACATATTTGGAGAACACTTGCACTCCCGTGTTTGCTCGTAATAACATTTACAAAAGTGTCCCATTGTGTTATTTAGTTTTTTTGGGTGCCTGCTCATCTGATTAGTCTCTCCTGTCTGGAAATCCATATTTGAACAGCCTTGTACGACCCCAGCAGTGGGACAGAGTCATTACTGAAGCAAGTCCTTATTTGCACCCAGTCAGGTTGGGAGTCACTGAGAAGTGAACAGTCACCTTGTGGTTTCAGTGGCTGCCTGCTTAGTAAGTTTCTCTCTTTTATAGGGTAGAAAATAAGCCTTAAGATAACCTCTGGCATTTGGAAGCACAGCTGCTTGTATTTCTTTTCAAGTCCCGACACAAAGTAATGACAGTTTATTATCTCTTAAGTAACTAAAGTACAGTTTAATATAATGTCAAAGTGGAAATGCCCTGCACCTCCACTTCAGATGTTGGTATTTATATTCGGAAGAGCTGAATATACAAGTATTTGCAGGTCTCCAGCGTTTGTTAGCAAATTGCCACTGTCCAGCCGGTTTGAAAGTATGTTATTATCAAAGAATCTTTATTCAAGAGTCTTATTGCAAATTGGTAGCCTATGGAAATTATATATTTAGGGATTATTTTTAGTCGCCCTTCAGACAAAGCCTGTACTCACCAAGAGGGCTGTAATAATAGGGTGAAATCAGTGTGACATGCTGTAATTCCACATCCCCAGGCCTGTTTATTTTTGCTTGAAGACGACTGTACAGCATTTAGTGCAACAGATTGTGACCTTGACAAAGTCATAAGGCAGCTTGGAGCAATAAGGGTGAATAAAGTGTTACTAATTATTCTAAAAAAAGATTAGAAAATGTTTCCTGTGACACGTTTATTTCAACATCCAAGGCTCTTTGATTATTTAAGAATAAGACACTGGGAAGCAATGAAGTTACTTCATGCATTCCTTTGTTTATATCTGTGAGACAGTGATGCCAGTGTTGGGTTTAACAAGCATTTACATGAGACTTTGGAGAACACACTCTGAGAGTTTTCCCCCAAGGGGGTGCCATTGTAAAGTTCTACATTGAAATTGCCAGAGGTGACAGTATTTCCTGGTGGCTTTCTTCTGTGAACACAGAAGACTGTAAAGGCACCAGATTTATGTAGTCTGAATCTTCAAAGGAACTGGCAGAGTAAGCCCAGTGGACCTTATTGTAGTTGTCCGCCGTGAAGCGTGCACCAGAGGACATGTGAAAAGTATGTGGATGTGCATTTAAAGTTGAGAACCGCAGGCACATTTTTACACACAGAGTAGTGGGAGGCTGGAACAGGCTACCAGCCATGTTGTTTGTAACCTGGCTTCTGTCAAGCTGGATGAGATCCTCAGTTCATTGGCAGCTAGAAACCAAATGAGCTGGGTGTGCCAAATGTTTGTATATTTGCTGTAAATTCACCATCAATCCTAAGATATTTATTATACTTCTGTAGTTGTAGAGCATAATACATACTGAAATGCATAAGACATTCAGCAATATTACATAATCTTCAATAATATCCAATCATAGTAAATGTATTTAATAATTGACTATACTTCAAAAGAAAGTGTATTTGCCTGCAAAGCAATTAAATACCAGGTGTAAAGTGTTCTCATTTGTACTTGACATTTATAGGACCTGAGCTGTACTGCAAGTGTTTAAATTTGTATGTTCAGTCCTTAAGAGAGCTTTATTTCAAATGCATTGTACCACATTGTCAATGACACAAGTTTAATTCATTAGTGTACTTCCTGTTCATCAAAAACAAACCTGTGAATCATACCTGTGCTGGCTGCCATGCACTCACTTTGGTTATAAACACTTATTTTCATTATAAAATTGATATTTGTCATACGCTTCCATCTAAGCAAGCTAAAGATTGAAATGTTTTAGTCCACAAATTTTATGACTCTTTTTTCCCTCTCATGAGTAGGTTATTTTCTTAAAAGTGAACACTTTTATGCACAAGTTTTTGTCTTGAGCTAATTGTCTGCAAAATTAATAAGTGTTATTTATACTCTTGTTTGAGTTGATTTTTGAGTTGAATTTGCTTGAATACTGTTTTGAGCTTTGAAGAATCGGTCACTGTTAAAAGAGATTGAGTCAATGTAATGTCAAGATCTCCTGATCACTTTCCCTAGACTTCAGTGCACTTAACCTTCATGTCATTCAAACAATTACAGTAGAACGGTTCTCTATAGTTTGACACTGCTAGATAGGCCATGGTAGGTACCTCCAGGCTTTCCATTCATCGTTTTTTATCTGCTCTGTCCAATTCAGGGTCACGGGGGAGCTGGCGTCTATCCTGGCAAGCAATTGGCGCAAGGCAGGATACACCTTGGAATAGGATGCCAGCCCAAGGAACACATAGACACAAACACACACACACTCACACCAGGACCAGTTTTCCCAGAACCCAGTTAAGCTACCAGTATGTCTTTGGACTGTGGGAGGAAACCAGAGCACCTGGAGGAAATGCATGTGAACATGCTCTCCAATCAGATAGCATCCCATTAGTTGAATCTGGAGCCCCAGTACTGCAATACAGCCATGCTAACCACTGTGCCACCATCCTGCCTGCCTGATAACATAACTGGCCGTATTAGAGTGGATAAAATCTTGGTTATTACAGGGCATGACCTAAATGGCTTCTCCTATATCATTAAAAAATGAGTTTAATTGTTAGTTAAAAGATCAAGATCTCCTGGATTTTTTAGTAAGCCTTAATAAATTGCTATGTACATATTTTTCATAGTCCATTATAATATCAGCTGCTATGAAGTTATCCTGATAATAGTTTCCTTGTCATGGAGGCATATTGATTTTTTTATATCAAAATAACATCTTGGAAAATACCTTTCTTCATACTGTTTTGTGCAGTTCTGTATATATCTGAATTATTTATTTTCCTATAAACAATAGTTATTCATCAGTCTTCAGTGTCTTTTGGGAT